ATTTTCGGGTTGGTATTGACACCGACGAAGACGACGATCACGACGTCGAGTGTAAAACTGGTGATTGGATCTACTGTAGACCGTGGGAGATAATTTCAGTGTTGCATGATCAGAGGTGCCAATAGGGGAACGACAGCGCAAGTTAAATAAATTGAGGTCGTTAATGAAACACAACTCAAGACAAGCCTGGAGTCTGGTCGGAAAGTCAACAACGTTTTGTAGTCCAAGGGTTATCAAAAACGTGACATCAAACCTATTGAAGTCACCACACACGATGCAAAGGGAGGAGTCTACGTAATTTTTTAGTAAAGCGGCGGAGAAAATACCTGTGAACTCGTTAAAATGATCAGTGGAACAAGAAGGAGAAATGCAAATGTTACCAAAAGTAATGTTTCGGTAGTTACTGAGGTGTTCAGGTTTGCATTTATACAGTGAAGTATTGATAAAAGCGGTAGAATACATAAAGACTCGTTTGCCTGATTTGCACCAATTGTCATTTGTGTATGTGATAACACCACCGCCTCGTTTGTGAACCGGAACGGGTCGGTCAACTCGGCAGATGGAGAAATTGTCAACTTTGACCACGTTATCATCAATTTCGTTGTGGAGCCAAGTTTCCTGAAGAAGAATTTTTGAAAACGCATCATGGCAGTTTGAGTTTCTGGGTCGCTTTGGGATCCTATCAGCGTGGTCCGAGGAGTTCCACAGGGATCCATGCTTAGACCTCAACTATCTTAGTTTACATAGACTAACTAACGGACATTCTAGGGCCACAAACGCCAATGTTTGCAGACGATGTAAAAATATGGAAAACATTGACAAAACCAAAGGACTCGCTGACACTCCAGAGCATACTTAATGCTACCTATCAATGGTCGACCGAGAAGGACATGGAATTTAATGTGTCAAAAATGCACGGTAGTATCCCTTTGTCACAAAACTCGGTTTTCGTACTTCTCGGAATATCGAAAACTTCCTTCCTCGAATGAGAAGGATTTTAGTGTCATTGCTCAATATAACCCAAGTTGTTATTTAAACTGACTCATGGCGTCGGTCACCACTGCAAGGTATGCCAAAGTGAGTATTTGGTAAATTCGAACCAATGCTATTCCCATGTTTGTCATCAGCCTACATCCGACCCTACACAGAGTACGCCATTTGAGCTAGGAATCCATGGCTGTAACGCTATCGTAAGATTCTGGAACGTCCACAAAGAATGACCACCAAGATATTCAAGGGACTGCATACGAAGATTTATGTGTAAAGGTGGTTATCATTAGGGTTGTGCTCCAGGCGGTATCGCCGAATTTGAGGAGACCTGATCACCCATGTCGTTCACTGTTTGCCTCATCGTCCAACATTCACCTCAGGGGGCACTCATTCAAATTAGTACTCCAAAACTGTCGAATAGAATGCCACCTTTATTCATTTGCCCTCAGAGTGTGAAGTATTTAGAATTCTCTACCACCTCACGTTGTTTCTGCGCCCACAATTAATTCTTTCTAGCGCAAATTGGACGAAAGATTGTCATGTCTTAAACTTCGATGTCCGTGGCAGAACATAAAAGAAATATTATTGTTGATCTTCTTTATCTCTCTCTATGATCCGTAAATCAATCCAGTTATGCAAAAGCCCTGTGGGACAAAAAAATCAACCGCTTGGAACTATTTTCCATAATAAAACTTTGACTTTGGTTACGTCCTTTCCTGGCTTCGAAATCCGGACCCAAAGCATGTGCTACCATTCTGTCAACCAATTCACACCATGGCTGGGCACTCAGGCCAATTCATTGTTGTTCAAAAGCAGTCTTCACAGAAAGCGAGCTAATTCGTTTATCATGACGACAAAATTTTCTACAGAAAGTCTTCTCCCAAGTTAGGTTCAAATGAAACCGATTAGGGCATGTTTTTCAATTCGCATTTCACTCACAGTTAACTGAGTTGTGGTGCAGAATAAATGAGCCCAATCAAAAACCAGATTGATACAATAAAATTAGTGAAATTCTCGTGGTAGTCATGTGAGATCAGGAACTAAGGGCTGAAGTTAAAAGCCATCTGTTGATAAAATGTAATTGTATTCCCCTAGTTTACAGTGAATGAAAACTAGTTCAAAGTAGGAAATACAATTTTTCACTTGAAACTAAAAAGCAATTTTGATTCCAAAATTTCAATTTTGATTGGCTTTGAGAATCATCTGTGAATACATTGTTAACATAATCCAAAATAAATTCTGTGGGACTAGGTTTCGTCGAACAGAGTTCACCATGTCCTCCTTGGTTGGAAATTGAATCGCGTTGAAAGGACACAAGCCCCAGACGGTTTTGCTTTTCAATAATGTTAACGCTAACGGTGTAACACAAACAGTTTCATAAAAATATCATTTGATTGTTATACTGGATAAGGTTTTTGAATAAATTCATTTTGAAAATAAATAAATAAATTTCATGGGAACCCATCTTGATAGTCAATGTGGTATCTTAAAAGTTCAGCTTATATAAGTGTTTACTTTGCTCCTTCGTGCAGCGATTTTGATTTCTGTCTTTCGGCTGCCCATTTAGATGAAAATGTAGGTTAGAATGATGGAAGTAGTACCGAGCAAAGACGAAAAATTCAGATACTACAAAAAATGGAATAAATTCATTTTACATTGATATCACAGTAACGCACCTTAATTCAGCCGATAGTAATGCATAAAACTCCATGGTAGGACCCAGACCGGTACCCTCTTCGCCTTCGAATTCAACCTCCAGTTCTTGCTGCAGATCAGCGTGAGCTAGCAGTAGCCGAACACTGCAACACCAGAATGTGTTGCGTCCACCCAAAAATGGTGAACAAAGGTAAGAAGCGGAATCCGTATCCTCGTGTTCTCCGTCGGAATCTAGCCTGGTTGATGGTCTCGGTACGCGAGCCATGTGACGTTGCAGACGACCAAGAGCCAATAGCGACGGGGGGTTGTTGAATCCCAATGAAGAACCATAGGCACTGGAACCAAAACCTGAAAAATTACATCATTCAACTAATTACAAAAAATCGCATATGAAATTGAACTCTTTCAACTATAGAAACTTTCATTATTTGATTTGTTCAACAGATATTGATCGCTGTCTGTTGAGGCAATGCGTTCAAAAATGAAAAGTCAACACCACTGAAAAGTGAACAGTCACGCGCACTAGATTTCAACTAAGATAGAGGCAAAGAAAGTTAATCGTTGATGGAGAAACATTCGATTAATGAAACTGAGGAATCTATTTATTATTCTCTCTCTAGGAACATGCAAATTAAAGCTGATTAATTTAAATGAAACGGAAACAGAGAAAGCTAATTTACTTAGAAAACCAATGCATCCGGGTATTGCAGAGTGTCAAAGCGCCATAATCGGACGATTCCAAAGTGAAGCAGTTCCGTTTATAGATAGGTAACGAGAAAAAGAGAACGCTTGGGGGGAAGCTCGGTTGCAAATATCCCCAAGCCTGTTAAAAGTGAAAATGGGTAACTATTCCGCATAACACACGGTCCTAAGCAAGCACAAAATGCAATTGACCAACTGTAAAAGTTACTACGGTCATTTATTCTTACGATTTTTCAGAATCATTCAAAAACGAGGTGTGTGAGGTGAGGCAGGCTAGTTTAAACACGTACACTAATTAATTTTGGTATACTGGGGGGAGACCGATTACCATCACTAGCACAATGAAGAACCCATCTGGATAGTGAACCCCGAACTCACTATATTTGACATGTGTATCAGATGCGTTCGTCACAGTGCTGGTAAAGTGTACCACACAAGAAAATAGTTACGGGCATAGAACCAAATGCAAACAAAGATATTGGATATCTAAGCGAATTACTGGAGTTCGTTGTTACTATAGTGGACGGAGTCCAGCTGAAGGTTATTGGAGGACCAAACAATCTTCCATTTTGTCGTTCTCTTGCACCGGCATCCATTCTTTGGAGCATGGAAGGTGTTCCAGTGGAATTGGTGTGGAACGCCGTTGTTCTTGCACTTCCCAATCGTTTCTGGATCCATGAAATCGCTCTATTGTAAGGAGGATAAAGACAAGCCAGCATTAAAAGAGGGAAAAGTGACGTGACGAAGGGACACAGGAAACAACGGGTGAAAATGAGCACAAAAGCAGTGGATTTTAGTATTTTTCAATTCAGTTTAAAAACCCAGAACCTCAAACATATACCAGCGAAGTTGCTTTCTTCCAGTGCTTTACAAAAAGATCGATGTAGAAGTTATTCAACGAACTAGACAGAATACAATACGAGGTTTCAGAGAGGACGCATATAGCTTGTAAGTGCTACTAAAAGTAGGATTGAAAATGCGCTCAAACGGAAATATACTTTGAACGGGAAATAAGGTTGTATTAGGAGTATTCCAAAACAATGAATGTCGACTTTCCTTCAAAATAGTTTAAAAGATGGCTTTTAAACTATTTTGAAGGAAAGTCGACATTCATTGTTTTGGAATACTCCTAATACAACCNTAGTTTAAAAGATGGCTTTTTTCTACGTGAAGCACATGTGAACTACTTATACAAAGGAACACATAGAGGACATTGACGATAGGCATTACACGTAAAGGGATAAACCGTGACTTTCGGCAAATAACCGTTACTTGGTTGTAGAGCTGACCTAACTGGTTCCGTTCTATTCTTAAAGCCACCAACCATGCACTTTCGTGCGCCGGTTTTGGTTGCTGTTTTTTGCCGCCCATTTGGATAAAAGAGGAGGATTAAAATTAGGATGTTGAGAGTAAACTCAAGCGGAAGCTAGTTAATTTATATAGACTGATGTTACAGGAATGATGAGCAAATGCATGAGCGCCACTGTTTGCGACACCCAGCCAGATCGCCAGCCATGGGTGACCGTCATCTCGGGGTCCCCAACCAGGGAGCTTAACGGGACCTATGTGACCCAGTCTCCTGGTGAGGGTTTTCATATCCTCATGCCAGGTCCTCGATTGACCACCAAGTGATCTTTTCCAACTGCTACCTACCTCGGCAAACGTCGCTTGCCATGGCAACCTATCTGGTGACATGCGTAGTACATGTCCTAACCAGCGTAACCTATGAAGGTCGAATACTTACTCCAGTGGACGACCTCGATTACCTAAAACTCTACGCCTAACCTCAACATTGCTCGTCCGGTTTCCCCGCCAGACTCGTGAAATGCTACGTATACAACGGTATTCAAACACCGACAATCTATTTTTATCCTATTCCGGTAGTGGCTAAGTCCTTGC